TTGTTACAAGCAACCATGAAACTAAGCCACTAAAAATGAATCCGAATGATTCAGTGTATATAAGTTCCTTTCTTCTTCTTTTGCTTTTGTGGGTTTCATTCTCTGGTAATAAAATTCTTTGTTTTTTTTAAACCACATTACATCAAAATCTAAAGGTTTTTTTACATCGATATGTTTTGTCGGGTGGTGCGGAGATTAAGGAAAGAACCAGACCTTGATGAAGATAGAAAGAAACATCTGTAGACCAAATGCTGCAGCCACTACAACTGTCACATCATTATTCGTCTCGAGGTAAGACCGTAGATTTAGGGCAACAAAGCAAGACGATGCGCTACCAGCTAAGAGTATAATCACCCATCTCAGAAACTCTACTGGAATAAGCAATGGAAGCTGCAAAAAAAAGAAAGAATGATCCTCAGTGTTAGAATGTTTAAACAGCATGCAGTAATATCAATCAAATATAAAAAATACAAATTAACGACAGCTGTGATACAATTTTAGGTTGATTTTATGTTAATGTACATGGCCACTGGAAGTTACCGAACCATATGTGTATCAGGTATATATGCATTTATATCTTAAGTGTTACTGATCATCAATTGATTAGTTTTCACAGTAAAAGAGGCAGGAGTTAGTGGAGATACTTACAGAGGTTGGAATGAAAATGAAGAGAGAGTATCCCCAGAGGCACCAGAATCTTAGAAGATCAGCTTTGGACCCCATATACTTGAGTGAGAAATAAAATCCCAGAGGCACAATTATTGCATAGCCATAGATAATAGATGCTGCCAAATTTATATAGTTCACATCAAAGACCCAAGGAGCAGCACTATCGGTTCGTTTCTTCACCAGATACGTGGCACAATTTCCGAGGGAAGCAAGCACAAACACAAGCGTAGTGCAGATCCAGACAAGTCCATACCTAACACGAGCGACAAAAATGCACACATGAGTCACTAATCTAGAAAACTTTGTTAAATGCCTATCTTTTCACCAGCCTTTAATGGATAACATGTCTTGCTAATTGAAATATATGCACTTGTTGTGGTGCTCTGCATTCATGTTTCAAAATATAACCCAAGAGACAAAAGAAAGAGTAAAGCAGGAAGAACTCTCACACTAAAAATCCAGCTTTTTTTCCCTGACAACATTCCTGGTTTCAAAATTTGAAACTACGGGTACAATCATTATATACCAATAGCTTTATTGGCAATCTCTACTCCAGTAGAACTACTTATCTAATGTGGCAACAGGGAAGCATTCCCCAAACCTATGACATATCAAACTCATTCCTCTGACCAAGTGTTTTTGGATGGAGAAGATAACACTTATAATGGTAACAAATTAACAGCCTAACTGCACCGTGGACTGATTAAAGAAATCTAAAGAATGAGATGCCAAATAACTCTTGCAGAGCAAAAGCAATTACCAACAAGAGTCAAAGGGAAAAGGCATTGAAAGACTTACATATCAGGATTTGCATCAATCTTGTTGAAAAAATCTCCACTAGTGGGATATAACGAGCTCATCAATCTGTTTACAACAACGTCTGTGTCTACGTCAAAGTACTGAGTATACGAGTAGACGTTAAAAAAGCCCTTCCAGTTATTTGGTGGCTGTTGTTCAGGTCCTTCTACAAGTGTGGATAAAATAAGGTGAAAACAAAGTAAAAAAGGATCTTGAAATACATAAGAAAACAGGTTCCACTCAAACAAGCATATTCTTTCAACCACTGTATTCTTATCTACCTTTGTGTCTTTAACATGATGAATACATAAACTGTTCTTGTCAAAACGAG